AATTGGTGTTCACGTAAACGAAGCTGAAGAGGCCGACCACTTAGTCCTATGCAGTGTTTTTCACGGTGTGAGCAATTTATTTTGCAGATGATATTTGGTTTTTCTCCATTTGTCATTTTGTCCTTTGGTCTACATACAGGATTGATTGAAGTGATTCTGTTGATTTGTGTGCCACACACCTATTCCAAATGGTTTCAGTAGTCCTGCTGTATGCTCCGATATGTCTTTTATGTATGATAGGATGATCTGTTTACTAGTTCCTGTAATTGATTTCGCTTCAGTTGACGATCTCAGTTGATGTTTTTTGATGAAGTTGCATAGATAGCCATCTTTTTTTGGAAGAAGACTCTCTTTCGAGAACGAAACACCACTACAATCATCCAGTTGAGCCAAAAAATTTTCTCTACCTTCTCAAAATCATATTGTGTAACGATGTACTCTGTTTGTTTGTTTATCTTTCTGATATAGTTCAAAAATTTGGCAAATTCCAATTCATGACAGTGTGACTGATTTAACTTTTGCCTATTTCCCACATGATCATACAAATAAAGTTTATGCTGGACTGACCAACGGTGAATTAGTTGTGATTGAAGTAAGTGATTGATTGATTTTGTTTTACTATTATTATTATTGTTTTTGCGTATTTTTGAATTCAAAATCTACAATTGCCTAAATGTTTTGACTCGTCAATTGATATGCTTGAATGCTATTACGAGTTCACCTTAGTCGGTAAGCGGCAGCTAAGACAAGTGATCCAGTGACACGATAGGCTACTCTAATCCGAGCGTCCCAGGTCCCCACTAACAGTATTAAAAAGTCTTGATATCGTGTAGAAAGTGTATTCTACAAGCATCCAGAAAATATGAGGTTTTGTACAGAAGAAGAAGAGGAGCATAAAACTTTACAGATAATGCATATTTATACAGTTTGGTCGGCCATAAATACTAACCAATAGGAAACAACATTTAAAAGTATGTGAACTTGATAGTTTATGACGACCTTAAATATTGACCAATCGGAATTGACCAATAGAATTAGACTCACAAAATAATTTCTTTAGTATATTTGACGAATATCCTAACACTCTAGATGCACTTGAAGTTTATTTAGGACGTTACAAATTTCATAAGAAATGGTAGTTAAGATTTTTTAAAAATAACTTTTTGTTTTACTGGTTAAAAGTTGTGTTAATGATATCTACAAAATTTCCTATCCTTATGTTACGACAGTCCTCAGAATGCATGACAAAGTCTCCAGAAGCTTAAAAAAGCAGTCATAAAGTTACTATCTAGTCATCTAAGCACGATAGAATGTCTAGAATACCGATGTGCTAGCTGTAGTCAAATAGTACACACCAAATTATACATTTTTTCTAATGATATATGATGTCCTAGATCTGATCGCAATGCGTACAGACCTTCCGAACTCGCTGTTTGAGCTAGAAAGCAAGAGCAGAAGAAATAGTCTATTTGGCTACTACATATTCCGCACAAAAACTCGTGTATATAAAGATTAGTTCACCTTAGAAAAGGAAGCTATTTCTTGACCAATGATATTTATCCATCCTTTAGGACATTTTCTAATGGACATCAAGTGACCTTCTCTTTTGGCTACTTCTGATTGGCTCATGAAATCCATCATGTTCAAACGATTTATCATATAATAATTATTTTACTGACTAGTCGGACCTTTATGAAATGCATTTTTTTATAGTGTACAATTAATACAATCTTGAAGTATTTATGTTGTAACTCATGTAAATTGCATGACCTATTTTAATCGTTCTTAAAAAACACTGGAGCTCATCTGTTAAAACTAGTGAAGATTGTTGAGTTTTATTGAAACAATAAATTGACCAATGTTAGTCTATTATTGTAAACCTACGAGTGAAGCCCAACTGTGTCGGGTGTGAGGCAGTGATCCACAAAAGACAATGAATGATCATCGTCTCGTAATTTCGTGGATCCCAACTCAGTGATCAAGAGGTTATGTGTATTCATGAGTGACATCGAGTGTCGTGGGCTCAGCTGCTGCTTGCGGAGTCGTCGATGTACACTGCCGATAAGTTAAATATTAGGAAGAGGCGTTTTCACCATAAATATACCATTGACTGATTCACGGTTTCAATGAAACTGGAATTCGAACTCTGAATGATTAACAACAGTGCTAAGACAACATTAGATATCAGATCCCTGCGTGAACTTGTTTTCATATCTAAACTCCCCTCTGCTAATTTAAGTGATTCGTCATTATTGATTTTTAGGGCAGAGTTTTGGAGGTTTGTGTTTTTACACATTTGAAATCATCAATCAATCATTGTTAGACCACCATTAGAAACCTGGAAGCACTGGACAGCCGTTTCGTCCTGGTATGGGACTCATCAGCAGTGCGCACTCACGACTCCTGTTCCTCGCTGGATTCGACCGGGAACCTTCGGTATTGTGAGCGAACGCCTTACCATCGGACCACTGGGCCGGCATCCAATGGTGTTAATGTCTAACTCTGATTGATCTACGGATTTTTGCGCGACCTCACCCATTTATCTCTGGTAGTTACTGCCTACACCCGACAGGGTTCAACTCCATTAGTCACGTCTTCTCAACTAGAACTCTGAGAATTTCCTCACGAATCTAGTCACTAGTGAGCAATGTAACGATATTTTGAGGCAGAGTTTTGGAGGTTTGTGTTTTTACACATTTGAAATCATCAATCAATCAATCATTCATTGTTTTGTTTTCGTTATGATTCTATTTTCAAAAATTTAGAATGTTGGTTTTGAAGAACCACGTGATTCTATTTATTACATCACGATCAGTTTTATTCCAATCTCATCGGTCCTATTGGCAAGAAATCAATTATGGTGTGCAAGTGGCAGTTCCATATTCATTTTTCATGCCAAGTTAGTTAGTTAGTTAGTTATAATATGTAAAACATATTTCATTATGTGCGCTTTTTTTCAAGTATCAATGCCCATGTTGAATTTGATAGTTTCAAACAAATTGGACATTGATCTCACACCCAAGGTTAATTATTAGTATTCTGATGATATGCAAATAATTAGCGAGTTGTAACTTAATATTAGTCACTTCCTGAGGATAAATTGATAAATAACCCACGTTTTTCTGTACACCAACTAACGTTGGAGTCGAAAGAGCCTTATTGCGTAGTCCGCACAATTTCTCCTGTGTTTCAATAAACAGTTAACCTGAGGTTAATGGAGAATCAGCTAGGAAATCCAATCTTGCATTTATCTGACAGATCAATCGTTTTCATATTCTGTCAATTAAATTTCAGTCTATAAAAGACTTACATCACGTTATGAAATATGTGAAATACAATTTTCTGTTCATTAAAATATCACCAAAATGTAATTGTTTGGTTATGATAACAAATTTTTGTCAAAACTATCAGAAAGTATTGGAGAATCTTAGAAGCAATGGACAACTGTTTGATCCCAGTATGGCACTGATCAGCAGTGTACGTCCACAAGCTCACTCGATGAAATTGAACCAAGGACCCGTGGTCTCGAGCGCAAACGCTTGCTTTCTAGACCACTGAGCTGGGATCACGGATTCAGAAGGCTTCATTGACTTTTGCTAACTCGCGCCACTTATGGCATAGGCGAGATATCCGTCTGCTAATCAAAGGAACAGTGTATTGCGTAGCAGTTCGCTCAGTCCTACTATGTGGATGCGAAACATGGTCGGTAAGAGTAGAGGACATCCGTAGGTTATTGGTGTTCCATTATAGATATCTTCGAAGCATCGCTCATATATATTATACTCCGGGACAACCGATTGAGGAATGCTGTTGTTGGGAAACTGGTCCTAGGTAAAGAAGGCAGGTCAATAGATGAAGTATTGAAACTTCATCAGTCGATGTGGTTAGGATACTTGTTGCGTATTCCCAACGACCGACTGCCTTGACGAGCAATGGTTTGTGGTGTGAGAATAGGTTGGAAGAAAGCTGAGAACGGCCAAACCGAAACATGGCACAAATCCATAAAGTCATTGACAAGTGGACTGAGTCATGTTAGTAGATGTAGGTTAACTGATTGAGGTCCGCTAGATGATAGTAACAGATGGTTAGTGACCTTGAACGACATGGCTCAAAACCGTTTGCAATATTATTATTCATAACCTTATTTGTTTTTTTTGTGATTCAAAATTCAATTTACAAACTCATTTTAGAACAATGGATTATTATAAACAAATTAGTATATCAAGTAATCCATTAGATGTTATATTAAAAATATGTCTTGGTGAACATGGAATTTGGATTGCTGTACGTGGTAGTTCCGTCATTGAATTATGGGATCCTGATCGATTGATACGGATACTTTTATTTAATATTGTCAATGAAATTTATTTAAGTCGTAGACCGGTAAGTTTAAGTTTGAAAAAAAGAAACAGTTGCTTTTCTTCTGTTCAATATTCAATTATCAATTGTTGTAGGGTTGTTTGAGTAGATTGTACATCAAATTATTTGAAACGACTAATTCAAATCGCACAAGAAACAAAAGTTCTTTTTAAATGACTAAGTTTTGGGATATATGTTGACTGTATTCAAATACTTGACAAACAGTTAGACCTTGTTTAGTTTCGTGTTATAGTTTTAGAGCGGAGTAGGATTAGTGATTAGAGGTTTGTACTTTCACTGTCACACCACCTTACATCGGTTTAGCCCATGTAAATGTTTTAACTAGTAAGTTGCTTGGAGAAGAGACTTTCAGGAGTTCTAGTGATCAGTCAAGATCAATCGAGAGTGAGAAAAATGGTATCGGGAGAAGGCAATAGAATACTGTCACGTAATATCGCGCGTTTGATTCAAGTTGACCTATATATCTTAGTTCATTGCTCTAGAAGGTTAGCCCTCACAAACAAGACTGAACAACTTCTGATGATGTGGTCATAGTGTGGTGCGCGCTACTTATAAGTAGTATATGACGTGAGTGTAAACGTAATGTCTGGCAGCAGAAAATGGGAGAAGATCAAGAAAGGAAGAGTGGGAACACAATGGAGTTTGTATGAAATGCATGAATAGTAGTGAAATGTCAGACAATGGATTGATGATGGATTGAAGATTTGCAAACTAACGGTTACGGTATGGTTTTCCTATTTTACTGAGTAACTCTGTAATTTCCGATTGAATACAATTCGGTTGCCCTCACCTATGTTCTCCTTCACTACAATAGGTGAGTATAACTAAGGATTTTCATAATTGTTTAATTTATATGGATCCCGGGTTATTTTGGTCTTTTAATTCTGTTCAACATGATCACTTAAGATTGATTTTATTGGTAGATTCGATCAGCATATAAGTACAAATCTGGGACGAAGCAAAACTGTCTAATACTCTCTTGTTCTCGGTTTGTTGAAAAATTGATGTCACTCCGTTTTTAAGAAATAACTTTAGATGTTAACTAATACTGTTAAACTCAAGGTAATATTTTTATAATATAACATCACACTACTGTTAAATTTGTAAGTAGTAAAACTAATATTTCTTCATAAACATTGATTTTACATTCTTAGTGACATCATGTTAATTTTGGCTGAAAAATATTTTTTCTGCACATAAATATTCTTGTCACAGGAAGAAGAGTATACATTTAATCCACAACGAGTCACTGTAATACTTCCATATGAAAATACAATATGGATTGGTACCGGGATGGGTGAAGTTTTAGTCTATCAAATTACCACATATCAAAGTAAGTGAATTATTTTATGAAAAAATGCAAAGGTTATCGTTTCACTTCTCAATTCGTTTCTCGTTTTTTTCGCATCAAAACGTTTGTTTTAAATTAATAAACTAGGAGGGAGAGATAGACAGATAGATAGATGTGTGGATAGAATGATAGATGGGATAGGATAGGATAGTGTTATGATCGTCACTTGCTATGCTTGAAACTATGACGGGTTCACCTTAGTTGATAAACGAGAACGAGACAATGAAGCAGTGTCCAGGTAGGCTACTCTGTGATCTGATTGTCTCAATAGTGCCAGCAAGAAGTCTTAATGTAGCGTAGAAAGTGTATTCTACAAACACCCAGCCAGCATAGAATACATCCAAGCACACAAATCGCGTTTATTTATACACCACAGAGATGTCCTTGGGAGAGTCACAAAAATAGCACACTAACATACCACAGTAACCAATCACAGTCAAGGATTTTCTTGGTGGGAAATGTGATCTCAAGGCCAACCGATCAGCTCATGAATAAAATCCAAAATTAAGATATTTATCAAGTGAGTTCTTGGGATGTAACGTCCCTAGACAGATAGATAGATAGGTAGGTAGATAGAATATGGCCCGGCAGTGAAACCTATGACGAGCGTCTCACTTTATATTTAGGATTCGTTAACTGAATGTAATTGTATCTCAAAATTGATGATCATTCGGAGACATGAACACACTCTCTAAATTAATTAATCTTCTAAGTTATTTACTATATTTTTCTGGTAATTCCGTGCTGATTGACATAACACATAACATTCTTTTTTTTACGCCTGCACGTAAACACGTCAACTTGATATACTTAAAATATTACAAGTTTACCTAGTCGGAAAACGAGAGTGAGGATCGAGGATCCGGTGACACGACATGCTACTCAAATCCGATTATCCCAAACTCGGTATTAGGTAAAAATAAGAAGACGTGATATGAAGTAGAACCTGTATTCTACAAGCATCCAGAAAGCACGAGGTCCGAGTCCAGAAGAGAATTAGGATCCCGGACTAGGGGTCTGGACCTGGTCCTGGTTCTGGTACTGGTCATAAAACCTTACAGATAATGCGTATTTATACATTTTGGTCGAATGAGAAACAGCATCGAAGTGTGTGACAATGACAGTTAAGATGACCAATAGGAAGTAACATTTGAAGTGACATTGATAGTCAGGTCATCCAATAAGAAACAATATTGTAGCACGTGACATTGATATCTACTAGGACGACCATAAAATTGACCAGTAGGAATTAACCAATGGGAATCGACCAATAATTCTCTTAGGATATTGGATGAATATCTTAACACTTTTTGAATTCAAAAAGATTGACAGTTGATCAATTTTTAAATTATGTAGGTTTTCAATTCTACTTTCTTTTCTCTTCACAGAAACGGAAAAGACAAAACGTTTTGATGATAATACTCAAATTAGTGAGCATAAAGTAAGTTTTTCTTTCATTAAAATGTTTTTAAAAATCAAGTCAAAATGAACCATTCATCAGAATTATATACAAAATGCGCAGAAATTGAACGTATATCAATATATATCTTGATAGAACAGTGAGAAGACGTAATTGATCTGAAAAATGTTGTGATGTATTTGCGCTCCAAACATTTTGAACAGTCTGGTCACACATGCTTTGCATTACAGGGTTGTGAAGATTGTTAAGTTAAACATGTTTGAAACCATGAATCGATCAATGTTAGATGACCACCATTAGAAACCTGGAAGCACTGGACGGCCGTTTCGTCCTGATATGGGACTCCTCAGCAGTGCGCATCCACGACTCCTGCACCCTGCAGGATTCGAACCAAGGACCTTCGGTACTGTGCGCGAACGCCTAATGGTGGTCTAACATTGATCGATTCATGGTTTCAAAAATGTGTAACTTAACAATCTTCACAACTCTGTAATGCAAATTACATGTGCTCACTAGTGACTAGCTTCGTGAGGAATCTTCTCCGAGTTCTAGTGGGAAGACGTGACCAGTGAAGTTCAACCTGTTCGGGTGTAGACAGTAACTACCGAAGACTGTGTATGAGGTTGCGCAATTCCGTGAATTGATCGAAGTTAGACATTAACATCGTAATATACCAGCTCAGTGGTCCAGAAGTTAGGCATTCGTGCTCAAGACTGAAAGTCCTGGGTTCGAATCCTGCGAAGTGCAGGAGTCGTGAATGCACACTGTTGAAGAGTCCCATACCAGGACGAAACGGCCTTCCAGTGCTACCAGGTTTCTAATGGTGGTCTAACATTGACCGATTCATAGTTTGAAAAATGTGTAACACATATACTTGTCAAAGGCATTTTATATGAAGATTAATAAAAGGTCAATTAAATACAAAGTTCAAATAGACATAAGGTGATAATTGTAAATAAAGGAGATAGAAAAACTCAGCGCAATATGAAAAGAATAAGAAAGGGTAGGAAAATTGTCACATTACTCTCTAGGCTTAAAGATTACCAGGGTAAATTCAAGGTTATATAAAATGCCTTGACAAGTGTGATATGTGTGACCAGATTGTTCGCAAATACATCACATTTTTATCAAAATTTATAAAAGGGACTAATTGTTTTAGATAATTATCGTTCTTGGGAACACTTTGACTTAACTGGTTTAGGTCAATGTCAAGCTTGTGTTTTTATGGTGCATTGGGTCGCTTCTAAACGTCTTTATACGGGTGAGAGTGAGAACAGTTCACTCCCTCTCCATAAATGTTGTCAATATGGTCACGCATATATAGAGCCATTATCATGGAAGTTCTACTCGCTGCCATGTCGTAGAAGAGGTGTTGTTTATGATATTAATTTATGTCACATCTTTGGAAAACAGTTATTGTATTGTTTTAGACCACAGAAAATAGACCTCAGAATCAAAGCCATTGAATGTTGACTCAGTATAGTCGACTCACTCGTAAA